TAGAATGCATTGAACATAAGAACCTAGTTCTCTTGCAGCACATCAAGAACAGCTAGCTCTGGGTTGTCTACTAAAAGAAAATAAAAAAAACACCATTATATAAAGGCCATTGATTTTCTTCAGGTAAGTCGAAGCATTGTTTCGAATACAGTATATAAGACAGAATGAACGGTTGTCAATACTGAACTTTACAGAAATTTGCAGGAATGTATATGGACAGTACTCTGTATTATCAAGCACGTTCACATTAGGCAATGCAATTTCAGCAGAAAAATAAAATTTTGCAGAGGAGTGTCAACAAAGCTCGAAATACCATTAGAAAACACGGCAACACAACTGGGTTTTTAGATCGTGTAAGACAGGATCTTCTGGGACGATCTGCAGCTGAGCATAAAAAAAAAAAAAAAAAAAGTCTTCATAATACACAGAAATATTATTAAAATAGCAATATAAAAAGTCCCCCGCTACTCCTCTGTACCAGACCGACATACCAAATCTGGCATAACCAGAGCACCTGCATAGCTTGAGGGAAGGGAAGCCGTTGATAAGGGAGGCATGTCCCGGGGTAAGAAATGTACTTACCACTGTGTACACAAGCTCAGGTCAATGCCAGTCAGGGCCTTACAACAGCGCACAGCAGTTTTGATGAGTACTGAAGGGTCTTTATCTGGATACAGTCCATCCAATGAAGGAGACCAGTGTCCTCCTATTGCCATTGCCTCATCCTTACCCTTCATTCCCACTAAAAACTGTAAGAGGAAACACATGCAGGCATCTTTGAACATTTAAGCCTGAACCACTGAATCAATACAATACTAAGTCACACACCGTTTTTCCACAAAATGTATAGATCATATATTAGTATCACAGCAGCATTCCTAAAAACCCACAGCAATAAAAAAAAAAAAAAAAAAAAAAAAAAAAAAAAAGTCACACACCGTTTTTCCACAAAATGTATAGATCATATATTAGTATCACAGCAGCATTCCTAAAAACCCACAGCAATAAATAAAAAAAAAAAAAAAAAAAAAAAAAAAAAAAACAACCACAAGCCAACAGGTCTGACTCTTAAATAAATCTTCCCAATAACAGCAAAGGGATTTCAAAAAATGTTTGCATATATGAGTGCTTTACATTACATCACGTGTTTCAAAGTGGCTTTACAGACCCTGTAAATGTCAGTTGTAATTCTGCTGTATGATAGGTTTACAGTATTAGAGGGCTCATTCACACCCAATGTGTTGGAGCTGCGCAGCCACAATGTAAAACAAGGCAATTTACCCTGTTGCAGATAGGCTCAGTTCACACCACCACACTGCTGTGGTGTTTGCTGAAGCACGGCATGCAGTACTTTTTTTTTTTTTAACCACAGTGTGATTCTCTACAACCTCATTGCCCTGCGCCCATAGAACTTACTGAAATGTCACTTTTGACATTTCAATAAAGTTCTAACAATTAAAAAAAAAGGAAACTTTATTTCGATCACCAGCTGACGCGTGGTGTAGCGAAGCCGTTGGTGTGAATGGGCCCTCAAACGGTCCTGTATTGTATGTAACAACACGGAGGGCCCCGCCCACATCCAGGAGCATCTGAGAGACAGGAAGAGCACCGGCTAAGAGGATAAGAAATATTTCTGCTTACTCCCCTACCCCTAGACCCTTGCAGTTTAGAGGGGGACCTACTGGGAAAACAATATTTGGTTTTAGGGATGCACGGATACCGGTATTGGTACCGATACTGGGCATATTCACAAGTACTCATGAAAATGCCCAGATACTAGCCCTTTAAATTTTCCGCGCTTGCTGGGGAACTCACGGCGCCTGCTTACAGCACCTGTTAGAACAGCAGGCGGCCGATCATCTCCTCCTTCTCCCGACCCGCACAGCCCTAGTGAGACCCGCACCTGCCCATGCAGCCCTGGTGAGCAACACACAGTATGTAGATTCATACTATTCTGCATTGCTGGGATTTGTAGTCATCTATAGCTGGTGGTATTCTGCATTGCTGTATAATGTATTGCTGGGATTTGTAGTCATCGATAGCTGGTGGTATTCTGCATTGCTGTATAATGTATTGCTGGGATTTGTAGTCATCTATAGCTGGTGGTATTCTGCATTGCTGTATAATGTATTGCTGGGTTTTGTAGTCCTCTATAGCTGGTGGTATTCTGCATTGCTGTATAATGTATTGCTGGGTTTTGTAGTCCTCTATAGCTGGTGGTATTCTGCATTGCTGTATAATGTATTGCTGGGATTTGTAGTCATCGATAGCTGGTGGTATTCTGCATTGCTGTATAATGTATTGCTGGGTTTTGTAGTCATCTATAGCTGGTGGTATTCTGCATTGCTGTATAATGTATTGCTGGGTTTTGTAGTCCTCTATAGCTGGTGGTATTCTGCATTGCTGTATAATGTATTGCTGGGATTTGTAGTCATCTATAGCTGGGAGTCAGTGGTAGAACTACAGGGGTCGCAGCGTTTGCAGCTGCGTCCGGGTCCTGGCGCTCCACCACTGTCCTAAAATCACCAGTCTGTTTTAAAAAAATAACTGTCACACTACAAAGAAAAAAAAAAAGGTATTGGTAACCTAATTATCCATTTACCTTAATTAGCCTTGCTGGATGCTGGAAGCCTTCTTTAACTTCCGCTGGGTCCTCCGCAAGAGCGCATGATTTGTGGTATAAATCCTCCAAAGATGGACTCGCCAACAACATGACCTAATAGGAGTACCAAAGAAAAGCCAAGTGGGTAATCCTTCAGCAAATATAGTCAGCGTTCTGCATTCTAGAACCCTGTCCTAGATCTAGAACCAGCACACAGTAATGGTATATATAGTATTCTCCAAACAGTCACTTTAAAATCTTCTGAATGCCTAACAAAATGCAGAGTTTACACCTCTATACTATTGTAAAGAAAAATCTTCTACACCCCGTAGTGGGGCTACCCTCACACTGCAAGGGTTAAGTGCTCATTTTGGCCTAGGCTACAAAATAAAGTTATATTCACCCGAACCTCAGAGATGGCCAGCTGTGACAGCGCTTCCTCCAGCCTGTCTCCTCCTCTACTGCAGAGATGGTATGTCCTTCAGAGCCCTCAAGTCCTATACATGGCGTATAGAACGCTATAACTCTGGGACCTTAGGCCGCTGTAATGGATGGGGAGAGAAGACCCAGAGACTGGTCTAAGAGGAAGGCAGCTCGGAGGATCAGATTCATTTTTGAACCTAGATAAAAATGAGCAATTAACCCTTGCAGTACAATGGTTAAGAAAATGTTTTACATGGATTTCTGTTTTAACTCCAATGTTCAATCTGTAGTTCATAACATCTTATTACCGGAAGGTCCTGCAAACACTTCTGGCTACAATCTCCGCGTTACCCTTTTATTTCTGGTTACAGCTCGGCTCCTAATGATGACACAGGCTCCAGACAGGCATATCTTCCAAATGTGTCTTTTCACCATAGGCTATCTTGAGGTCAAGTCTTAGAGATGACGGAACATGCATATCGGTGCCAATGCTGAGCATTTGGGTGAGTACTCATCAGGAAGCCGGCTTCACGCTGCCTAATGACACTGCGAGGCAGCCTGGCTTCCTGACCCATCAGTAAGCCAGGCGGCACGTCATGACCCGCCTCCTGGCTTTCTGTTTGGTCAGGAAGTCAGGCTGCCTCGTAGTGTCATGAGGGAGTGTAAACTCGCATTCGAACCCAGGCAAATCAGGAAGTCGGGTTGTAGGCTATGACCTGCTGCCCAGCTTCCTCGGGATGCCGGCATCGGTATTGGCGAGTATCGAAAAAAAATATCCGTACTTGATACCGCAAAACCGGTATCAGTGCATCCCTAGAATCTACACTTGCCATTCTATGCCATTCAGGGTAAAGTAACAGGTTCACTTTAATGCCTACCTCCCCAGCACCATATACTCCCCTTCCTTTTACTTTCTTGCCACTTTTTAGTTGCTGGAAGTGAAAGGGAAACTGTAAAACTACCAATTACTGGAGTCCTAGTCTACACAGGGCTATGAACACATGTCATCCAGACCTAAAAACAAAGGGGTATTTCCATCAGCTACCAGTGGAGTGGCGGGGGAATAAAAAGTCAAGTATATACTGGGAATGGTATGGGGATTAGAGCAAACATGGCATAACCAGAAGGTATGCTTTAGGTAATGTATAGCATGCACTTTCTGAACACTTTACCAAATGCATCAAAAGAAGAAAAAAAACTTGAGCAACAAACCATAGTCTGCTTCCGATTTGGTTGTTAATACAAACCGTTCAGTTTTGACTTGGCAAGTTGCTCAAATACAGCGAGTGATACTGTAACCTAAGGCTGCTATATTTTTTTAATTATCCTGTAGTGAAAGAATACACTAAAGAGACAAGGAACGTCCAGACAATTTTCTTATTGGGAGCTTGCGTGGCAGCTTGACTGGAGCAAGATCAAAGGGTGGAGTACAAGCAGAAATCGGCATTTGCTGCCAGGGATATGAAGGTTTGTCTGGCCATTACACACTATTAAGAACTGGCGTGTGAAACTACTTTTACTGGCAATTCGGAGCTTGTGAACCTAAAAATTGAGTTTGAAGTATACATTATAAACCCAAATACTACCGTGTTTCCCCGAAAATAAGACACTGTCATATTTTTTTGGCTCAAAAAAAACACACTAGGTCTTATTTTCGGGATAGGTCTTATTTTTTTTTTTTAATGTACAACAATCCAAAGTTAATGCAAATCCAAATCCAAATTAAATAATCCAAAATGGCAAAGTTAAGAATAGGGTGATCAGGGATGCCGTACCTTTCCAAGAGCAATTTGGTAACCAATCGCGCTTTCACTAGTATTCCTCACAGGTGGAGTGAGTTTGGTATCACTCCGCCTGTGACAGGAGAAAGCATCAGCTTATGCGGCTCTGCTCCCTCTGCTGCCGCCTCGCTTCCTCTAGCGCCGGCTTTGTTGGCACCGCTGATTCTCTCCCGAGGCTCTTCAAGTTTCCCCTTATGACACCACTGGCCCTGGGAAAGGTCACAGCTAGGTCTTATTTTCGGGGTAGGTCTTATATTTTAGCAATTCCCAAAAATAGTACTAGGTCTTATTATCGGGGTAGGTCTTATTTTCGGGGAAACAGGGTATATATAGCAGGGAACTCTGGAGTTTGTAGCTCTTTATATTTAAATGATTGAAGGCAGTGGGATATACTGGTTTTACATAATAAAAATATGTTCCATTACAAATGTTTCAGTCACATAGAACTTCTAGGGACATGTCTGTATATTTACTTTTCCCCACCCCATCCCACATGCGCAGACACACGTGCATGTCCCAAGTTAATCCATATACTGGCAGAATGTATGATTTCCTGGCCATTCAGAGAATATGAATGATAACACGAAAACCTTTCTGTCACTCATGGGTAGTGTTTGGCTGAAGCCATTTATTATCAAATCAACTGTGTTTACTCTTTTCCAATCATAATGACAACAGAAACTACCCAAATGACCCTGATCAAAAGTTTACATACCC